TATCCTTTGGACCACGAGGTCCCTGCATGAAGAGATACAGTCCACAGAAGGAGTAAGGTGAGTGCCTTCCAGGTAGGAGAATGGTTTTCAGAGTTGGGTACCCTTTGGGCATTTTCCAGCAAAGCTGAAAGGCAGAGGCCAAGGGGCCACAAGGCTGAGAGGCACCAGACAGAGGGGTGCCTGCCGAATGACTGATAAGGGGTGCCCCTGAACAGAGAACTACTGTATCCTGAGTTGTTTCTGACCATGAATTGAACAACAACTTCCCTAATAAACCCATAATTGTGAGTGTTGCCTGTGAGTTGTGTGTGGCCATCACAACAGATTACCAGACACAACAGAGAAGGAGTGCCGTGGTAGGGAGGGTTGGTGCCAGAATAGGATAGAGAAGGTTAGCAAGTGGAGGAAGATCTGATCTCCGCCTCGTAGGCCTCGAGCTAAAGTAAAGTTTGATTCTCCTTCCAATTGTGGAGGTCAGGCATGGCCTCCATGCTGGTTTTTTTGTTTTTTTTAAGGTTTTTACTGTGGATTGAGTGAAAGTTTACAGGGTAGATCATCAGTTTTACATTCAACAAATCATACACTTTGTTTCATTACAATGATTATAATCCCCTCCATGTACAATCAGTTAACAGTATTTCTCTCTATCCACTTTAGCTTTTTAAACAAACAAACAACAACAACAACAAAAAACTCCACTCAGGCATATATAATAATTTACATCTCCAAAAGGCACATTCTGCAAGTCTGCTCCTGGCCACCAGCTCTTAGTCCCTCTCTTCTTAGTCCATGAATCTAGAGTTCTCAGCTGCTCCCTCTCTCCATGCCCCCATCTCTGCCTCCATCTCTGGTGCTGCTGCTTCTCTGGATAAGGTCCCGCATTCTGCTTGCGTGCTTCTATCTAGATGGTCCTAGGGTCCTCTGTTTCTGGACTGTTTTTGTTACAAAACTTCTACCTTTATAATTGAGACAGCTGCGATTAGTCATGATAACAATTATTCACCATTGAATCTTACGAATCTTATCCCCATCTCTTTTCGCCAGATCCATCTAGACAAGATGACAGCTATTCAGTGGGGACTCTTTCTTTCCCCCCATACTCTTAAACTAAACTCCCTCTTGATACCTTGTAAGCCAGTCACTTCATGCCTTTATTGCCCCCTCATTTTAGGTAGCCAATGTGTAAGTTGCCTGTCCCTACTGGATGTGAAAGCTGGACAGTGAATAAGGAGGATCGTAGAAGAATTGATGCCTTTGAGTTGTGGTGTTGGAGGAGAATACTGAAAGTGCCATGGACTGCCAAAAGAACCAATAGATCAGTTTTGGAAGAAGTGCAGCCAGAGTGCTCCTTGGAGGCCAGGATGGCTAAGCTTCGTCTCTCCTACTTTGGACATATTGTCCGGAGGAAACAATCGCTGGAGAAGGATGTCATGCTGGGTAGGGTGGAGGGTCAGAGAAAAAGAGGAAGACCCCCAACGAGATGGATCAGCCAGGTGGCATCATTGATGGACTCAAGTGTGGCAGCGGTAGTGAGGTTGGCCCAGGATCGGACATTGTTTCGTTCTGCTGTGCATGGGGTCGCTATGAGTCGGTTCCGACTCAATGGCACCTGAGAACAACAACAAGGGTAAGTTGGCACCAACTTTACTTTAGTAATGTATTGAATATTGATACCATTCTAAACCTCTACCATTCCTCTCCCCAACTTTTGTTGTTGGTGGTGGTGTTTGTGTGGCCGCTGAGTTGGTTCTGACTCATAGCAACTCTACGTAGGGTTTCCGAGGCTGTAAATCTTTGGTGGTGGTGGTGGTTATGTACCGTGGAGTCGGTCCCAACCCATAGCGACCCTGTACAGGGTTTCTCAGGCTGTAAATCTTTACAGGAGCAGAACGTCTCATCTTCCTGCCACTGAACAGCAGGTAGTTTCAAACTGCTGACCTTGCGGTTAGGTCTCGTAACCACTACACTACCAGAGCTCCTTTGGTTATGATTATGCTTCTATATATCATGTTTCTCATAACATAATTTTATCCTTGCCTTCTAGGTATTTGTTATTAAGAAACACGAAGGACAAAACATTTAGAATTGTCAAGCATGAATATACTGACGAACCTTCAATATTTGCCCATGCATTTCCTTTATTAGGGATTTTTCTTTTCTTGAATAGCTTGAAATTGTTTTCTGATCTTTCCTCTTGTATCTGCAGACCTCCCATTTGTAGGACTAGTATAGTGGTGGATGTAAACTTTCATTCTTTGTTTGTCTTGAAATATTTTGATTTCACCCTCATTTTTGATGAACCGTTTCCCTAGGTATAGTATTCTTGGTTGACAGTTTGTTTGTTTGTTTTCTTTCAGCACTTTAAATATATAATCCCATTGTCTTTTGGCCTCCAATGTTTCTGAGGAAAAATTGGCACTTAATCTTATTGAGGATCCTTTTGTATGTGACTGTTTCTCACTCACTGCTTTCAGGCATGGCATTATTTAAAAATACTTTTGAAAACAATTGTTTATTGTAAAATATGTGTAACGAAGTGTCTGCCATTTTAATAACTTTTTTTGTGGTAAATATAAATATAGTGGGAATCCTGGTATGGCACTGTGGGTTAATGCGCCAGACTGCAAAGTCATTTGAACTGCACTTTCAAGCTCACCAACTGCTCCTTGGAAACCCTATACAGAGTTGCTATGGTTTGGAACTGACTCGACTGCACTTAACAACAACAACAAATATATGTAACAAAGCATTTGCCATTTTAGCCATCTTCACATGTACAGTTTGAGGACATTAACTGTATTGTCATGCACAACCATTACCTTTTATTTTATCCAAGTTAGACCATCACCCTTAACAGAAGCTCAGTGTCCTCTAAGCAGTAGGTTCTCCTTTTTAACTGCCTCTTTCCTGGTCACTAATGATAAACTTAGATCTCTGCTGCAATGAACACTGGTGTACAGGTATCTGTCACATTTTTGTTTTTAATGACTTATTTTTTTTAACCAGACTCTTTTTTTGAAAAAGCAGAACTTTTTATTGTGAATTGAGTGAAGATTTACAGATAAGATCATCAGTTTTACATTAAATAAGTCATACACTTTGTTTCATCTCAGTGATTGCAATCCACCCCCCACCCCACCACCAGGCAATAACAGTTGTCCTGCGTCTTCTCTGTGGTCACCCATGTTCATGTATCTTCTTTCAAACTCATATATTTTGGGACTATATAAATAAATAGATATATATATCGCACTCTTCCTCCCATACCCATTCAGGCTATGTCTCTGTCCATGTATCTACACACAGAACACTGTTGTTCCAAAGTTTTAACCAGACTCTTAACCTCTCTGAACTTCAAGTTCTTTACCTGTAAAATGGGTTTAATAATAATACCCACTGTCAGGGTTGTTATGCAGATTAAGCATGATAAATGCATGCGGGAACATTGAGCTGAGTAAATGCAAGCATTACTGCTAATTCACTGAGCATCTGTTGAGTGACCCCCTAGGTGAGAGAAACTAGAAAGATACAATAAGATGTAGTCCCTGCCCCAAAGAACTCCAGGACAGATGAAACTGAGAGCCTAGTGTGGTGTGTACTTGGGTAGTTAAAAAGAACACAGAAGCCTGGTGGAAAGCTGGGGACAAACGTTTCTTTGGGGTGACAGGTGTTGTCAGTGGACACCTACTTGAGATGAACCTAAAAGAATGGGGACCTGCCAGGAGGAGAGGGCGTGAATGATCTGAGTGTGTACCAAGGACTTAGTTGTCAAGTCTGGGAAGACAGGCCCATTAGGAGACTAGATCATGGGTCACCTTGGGGACTTGCCGGCATTATCAGTCTCTTCTGATTAGCATGATGGTGTCACAATCCTTGATCTGTAGGTCTCTGAGGCTGTGATGATTCTTCAGTTTCCGACCCTGGAACTTTAGGATCTGATCATCCACGTAAGGCCCTCCAGCTGCCTCAATCTTCTCTTTCAAGACCCAGATGGAGTCGTCAGGATCGATGGCATAAGGCTTGTTCTGGTCACCAGATTCCTTCACAAAGACCTGGATCTCAGGGGGGAAGACTTCCAGCACCCTGATGCCCACTTTAGAGAAGATCCCATAATCTGCTAGGGTCTTCCGGCTACTGAGTGGTTGCCGGTTCCCATCTGGCTCCTGGAAGGAGAGACGCAGGTTCCCAGTGATGTCATACATATTCTTGATCCTTGTCTTCGTCTTCCAGATGAGACTATAGGGATTCACTGAAAGTATCTTGGCCTCCTCACCGGTCTTTTTCACTGTCACCTGGATTTCTCTTGCTCTCTGAAAGGGAAGCAGGGGCAAGTGAGGGTCTCTGGGTTTTCTGATGACTCCAAAGCCCCTTATTCTGGCAACTGACCATGTAATTTACTGTTCTCCAGAGATACTTTTAAAAGCCAAATTTAAAAATCAATAATTATGTGAGAAATCAGAAATAAACTGGACTGTCCCAGGGAAAGGGGGACATTTGATTATCTGAGGACAGTCACCCCATCGTAGGGACAGCTAGCAAATGACCATTCCTTCTGCTGGGAAATCTTCAGAGTCCTCACCTGTCCCACGGGGGTATTACTAGTACTCCCTGCATTATCCAGGGAGGATAAAGGGTTTTACATACATGACGCACTGATTTTAGTGTGCAAAGACATATAGTGCATTCAAGGATTTCCACTGCAATACCTAAAATCGTAAATATCTCTCAAGAAGGTGTTGGTTCTAGAAATTAAGGTACTTTCATGCATTGGGCTATGAGGTGGTTGTTAAGTGTCATCAAGTCAGTTCTGACACATAGTGACAATATATAGGGTTTCTGAGGAATGACTAGTGAGATTGAACTTCCGAACTTGCGGCTCAAACTGACTTTGCAGTCCAGCACATTAACCCATAGCACCACACCAGGACTCCTTGAACTATGATATGGTTGTTACAAAGTTTGATTAGATTGAAAATAACTGTGTATTCTTAGTAGTCTAGGGCAATCCTGATTGATGTCTATTTTCCTGGCTTTTAATAAGCCTGCCCTTTTCACTCTCAAAAGCATCCTGGTTTGAACTTTATATCATATGGTTATATCTATTAGGTCTACATATGTGGATATGGAATTATCACTAAAATAATTGAAGTTTGTTACTGAATAGGTTAAGGTTAAGTAAAAACGTGCAAAACACAGGCTGTACAAGCAGCCACAGGTGAGACATTGTGTGTGGATGCATATTTATGGGAAGAGATGGAAGAAATTGATCTGTGGGTGTCTGGGAGTGTTCAGAATTAAAACTTTGGGAGATGAGAAGAAAAGTAGACTTACTGTTAAGTATGTACCCTATAATTGCTGTGAACAAGTCTTACCTTTTCACAAAATGCAAGTTCATAGTAATAATAATAACAGCCATGTAGCTTATGGGGAGGGGTCTCAGAAGAAGCTGGAACTAGTCCCATGAACCTCACCAGCACGGGTCCTTGATCAGCTGGATAATTGCAGCCAATGAGACGGAGCTGGGTGGTGGTCCCTCTGCTGCTTTGGGCATCTGACTTGCTTCAGGTGCTGAGGGCTGCCCTTTGCGTCCAAGTTCAAAATTTCCCAGCAGACAGACTCTGAAATGGGGTCTTGGCACCCAGTTCACTCTGGGAGGAGCAGGCTAGGGACACTAGTTCTCTCCTTAAGCTCCTAAGCAGAGTCCTGGCCTGTGAAGCCGGGTCTGGCTGTGATCCATGGGTGAGGATGGAGATAGTAGTCACAGTGGAACCCTGTGCTAGTCCTGCATTGCTGGTGGATATAGCTAGTCCATCTCCTGTTGGATGGCAAGCAGTTGGGGTTTTGCCAGTCTACCACAGGGAATCATTGTATCACAGGGTGCATATAGGTGAGTAAGTTCTGTGACTGCATCTCTCAATTGGCTACTGAGCGGGCAGGAATCGTTCTACCGATTTTCCAGGGGAAAGAACTGAGGCGTAGACATTTTCAGGAGGAGGGAAGGAAATGCACACCTGGTTGGTCAGCGCATCTTTAGGGGCTGTTGCCGGTTTGGGGTACTTGTGGGTGCTATGGCAGGAGTTGTGGGAGATTTATGGGGCTGAGTCATGACTAAAGTGTGGGGTCATACCTGTACTTGCCAGCCCCGGCTGGGGTCTTCAATGTAGCAGCAGGCCTGCCGTAGGCAGCGAACAGCTTCTTTGGCCACCAAGTCCCACCTCTTCCCCTTTGCAAGGTTATTGGTGGGATCTGCTGGGTCCAGGATGATGGGTCTGGGGGAGAGAAGGGGTGGATCTGTGCCACATTCTTGGTTCTGACCTTTGAAGCCTAGAGACATTGGGTGTCTGCCTTTGTGTAGACTGAGTTCCCTGCATCCTGAATCAAGAGCTATGTACCCAAAGCAGTTCCAATCAAGATTTATCTTGGAACATTTGCTTGGAATATTGGGGTAGAGATATATTAGATGGTCCATTGGGATCCGGCGCCTCACACAATTTTGCATCAGCCTGAAATCAAAGCTGAAAGCCTGGGAAGGACAGATCTGATTAATTCCTACTCTTGAGTTCTGATGACATAGTGGTCACCTGGATCACACTATACCTGAAGCTTCCATTATCTTTGGAATTTCAGTTAGGCCAATAAATTCCCTTTATTTTTAAAGCTGTACGAGTTGGATTTTCTATCCCTTGAAGTTGAAAGTAACACAGCCAACAACTCACCTGCATTCCTTCAATTTGTGTTTGATATAGCTTCTGACGACCTCATTTTGAAAATCATAGTACTTGGTCCAATATATACAGATGTCTTCATGATCTCTGAGGAGTTTCATCACAGCTACAAATGCTTCATCCATCTCAAAGTTGTCACTTTCATCTGTACCCATTTCCCAGGCGTAGATGGTCAGTAACTCTAGGGCGTATTTTGAAGGTAAGGGTACTTTTCGATGTTTACTTTTCAAATACTGTTGAGAGAGAAAGTAAGGAAAAGAGAGACACAAAGGAAGAAAGATATCATTGCCTGAGAATTTCCAGGTCACTCTGTTTCCAGATCTCCATAGTTTTCATTTTGTTTTTTTCACACTTGCCATTTCCACCCTTTTTGACTTCTACAATCTAGTCACACCAACCACACTTTGCATGTTGCACAACCATTACCATTCATTTCCAAATCTTTTTTTCCCCTCTCTTGCCTTCCTTTTCCTTTTCCTTCCCCTTCTTTCCTTTCCTTTTTTTTTATTCGTGGGAAAGTTTTCAAGGGTTTGTCCTAATGAGAAAATAAATATAAGTTGTTTCCCTTCCACTATGTAAAAAACAAATAAAACAAAACAAAAAAGGAAGAAAGCAATTTCCTACTTTTTTTCCCTTTTCTTCTTTTTTCATTCCTTTTCTTTTTAACTGCCTTCCCTGAGTCCCAAGTTAGGATGTGTCTACACTCTGGCCAGTGAATAATTCTCCCTTCCCTTCCACTCTTGGTAATTGTCATAGAATGTTTATTATTACAGAATGGAAACCTTTTCTTGACTTTTTCCAGTAAGGGTCTCATACAATATCTATCTCTTTGCAACCAACTAATTTCACTCAGCATAACGTAATCCAGGTTATTCCATGTTATGCCATGTTTTACAGATTCATACTTATTCATCAGTGTTGCATAGTGTTCTGTTGTGTGAGTGTATGAATGTTATTTCAACCATTCCTCTGCTGATGGATATCTAGGATTTCTCCACCTTTTTGCTATCATGAATAGTGCTGTAGTGAACATAGGTGTGTAAATATCTAGCCGTGTCCTGTCTCTGATTTCTTGAGGCTGAATACCAAGTAGAGATTGCTGTGTTATATGGTAATTTCCAACCTTCTGAGTAAGTGCCATCCATACTGTTTTCCACAGCAGTTGCACCATTTTACAGTCCCACCAACAGTGTAGGAGGTTCCCAAACTTCACATCCTCTCCAGCATTTTTTTTTCTTTCTAAACTTTGCTATTAATGCTGGGATAAGATTATATCTCATTGTTGTCAGTGAAAAAGAGGAAGACCTTCAACAAGATGGATTGACACAGTGGCAGCACCCATGGACTTAAGCATAACAACATTTGTGAGGATGGTTACAAGACGGGGCAGTGTTTAGTTCTGTCGGACATTGTTGTTGTTAAGTGCTGTGGAGTTGGTTCCGACTCACAGTGGCCCTGTCTAGGGTTTCCGAGGAGCAGCTGGTGAGCTTGAACCACCAATCTTGCAGTTCAAACCAACTTTGCAGTCCAGTGCATTAACCCACAGTGCTTAAAGTCAGAAGCTACTCAGTGGCACCTAACAGCAATAACAACAATAGTGGTAGGTCTCCATAATACTTTACCAACTTTGTTTTCCAGCATGTGTACTCATGTGACACTGTAGGATAATCACTGGACTGTTAGCTGAAGGTCAGCAGTTCAAACCCACTGGCCACTTCTTGGAAATCCTACATAGGGTTGCTATGAGTCAGAACCAACTCAGCGGTACTTAAAAACAACTGTTTCCAGAAGATAGCAATGATGATATGAATGGAATTGTGTCCACCTAAAATATATGGTAAACTCCTTACCCTTGTACCTGTAAATATGACCCTGTTGTAAATTGGGTTTCTGTAATGTTAATAAAGTCATACCAGAGTAGTTTTTGTTGTTATTAGATGCCATAGAGTCAGTTCTGACTCATACTGATCCTATGTACAACAGAACGAAACACTGCCCAATCCTGGGCCAACCTCACAATTGTTGTTACGCTTAAGCCCATGGCTGCTGCCACTGTGGCAGTCCATCTTGTTGGAGGTTTTCCTCTTTTTCGCTGACCCTTCACTTTACTAAGCCCGATGTCCTTCTCCAGGGACTGGTCCCTCTTCATAACATGTCTGAGGTATAAGAGATGAAGCCTCACCATCTTCTGGTTTAGTTCTTCCAACACAGATTTGTTCTTTCTCCTGGCACTCCATGGTACTTTTCATATTCTTCTAAAACACCCTAACTCAGATGCATCGATTCTTCTCCAGTTTTTCTTATTCATTGTCCAGTACTGTCCTCTAGATGTAGGTTTGTTTCACTCGCTGCACCCAGAGAATTGGGGGTGGGTTGCACTCAAGCATGATCAAGCAAAACATCTGCACAAGCTGATTTTCAAGCACAAGCAGTTTATTGACAAAGCAAAAGTACATTCTCCAAGTAGAGAATGGCTCTGTCTCTGCAACACCCCAGGTGGTCTCTTAGATCTGCATTTTTAATGTGTCTGCTCTTGCGTATCAAAATCAATAGGAGGGACTGCATTTGATTCCTAGTAAAGGGGTGGTGGTCTCTTGGAAATGGGGTGCCACTTCTTTCTGGACTTACTTGATCCTCCCTAGATCTACTATGTTGCTAAGGGGTGTGGATTTGGTATGCTAATAAAACAAAAATGACTTAAAGGTCATCTTGCTTTCAAATGTGTGTGGCTAGGTTTAGGTAAAGTTCTTAGCTAGTAGTTTTCTCTCTTTGTGGTTGGTTGTAGTAATTTTGGTTCACTGGCTCTGCTTGGTGGTTTGACCTTTAAAGTTCTTTTCCTTTGAGGCTGACTGTACTGGGTGCTATTTTTAATTCCATGGTCCCAGGTCCTGTTTCCTTTTTCCTTGCCACTAGGCTGTCCCAGTTACAACTCTCACAAACATATGAGGTTATTGAAAGTGTCATGGCTTGGGTCAGACACAACTAAGTTCTCAAAATGACATCTTTGTTCTTGAACACTTTAATAAGGTCTTGTGCAGCAGATTTGCCTCATGCAATACATTGTTGATTTCTTGACTGCAGCTTCCATGAGTGGGTCCTAAACCTAATAACTTCTGAATTATGGAAAGAGAAGACTAGACACAGAGACAGACACAGGGGAAGACAGATGTCATGTCAGGATCTGTCCACAGCAAAGGAACATCAAGGATGCCAAAGACAGATAGCAGTTACAAAACAGAGAACGTTTCATAGAACTGACATGACCAAGACCCTGATTTGGACTCTCAGCTTACAGAACTGTGAGAAAAGAAAAGTCTGTCATTTAGAGCCAACCACATGTGATATTTTTGTTATGGCAGCAGGAGCAAATGAAAACAAACTCTAAAGCTATTCCTTACATTGTCCAGTGCTGTGTGTATAATTAGCTTTCAGTTGTACTATCTCACCTACACTCTTAAACCTGCCCCCTAGAGTGGGCCATGGAACGAGGGGATATCATTGCTGATGTCTGATGGATCTTGGCTGAAAGCAGAGAATATCAGAAAGATGTTTATTTGTGCTTTATTGACTATGCAAAGGCTTTCGATTATGTGGATCATGACAAGCTGTGGACAACATTGCGAAGTATGAGTATTCCGGAACACTTAATTGTGCTCATGAGGAATCTGTACCTGGACCAAGAGGCAGTTGTTCAAACAGAACATGGGAACACTGAATGGTTTAAAATTAAGATAGGTGTGCGACAAGGTTGTATTCTTTCACCATACTTATTCAAACAGTATGCTGAGCACATAATCTGAGAAGCTGGGTTCTATGAAGAAAAACGTGGCATCAGGATTGGAGAACTACTCATTAACAACCTGTGATATGCAGATGATACAACCTTGTTTGCTGAAAATGAAGAGGACTTAAAACATTTATGGATGAAGATCAAAGAGCACAGCCTTCGGTATGGATTGCATCTCAATGTCAAGAAACAAAACTCCTCACCACTGGACCAATAAACAATATTCTTATCAATGGAGAAAAGACTGAAGTTGTCAAGAACTTCATTCTTCTTGGATCAACTATCAACACTCACGAAGCAGCAGTCAAGAGATCAGGCGATGTACTGCATTAGGCAAATCTGCTGCACAAGACCTTTTTAAAGTGTTGAAGAGCAAACATGTCAGCTTGAGGACTAAGGTGCACCTGACCCAAACCATGGTATTTTCAATAACTTCATATGCATGTGAAAGCTGAATAGTGAATAAGGAAGACCATAGAATAATTGATGCTTTTGAGTTATTGTGTTGGAGGAGAATATTCAAAGTGTCATGGGCTGCCAAAAGAACCAATTGATCTGTTTTGGAAGAAGTGCAGCCAGAGTGCTCCTTAGAGGCCAAGATGGCCAAACTTCGTCTCTCATACTTTGGATATATTGTCAGGAGGGACCAGTCACTGGAGAAGGATATCATGTTTGGTAAGGTGGAGGGTCAGAGAAAAAGAGGAAGACCCCCAATGAGATGGATTGGCCAAGTGTCAGCATTGACGGACTCAAGCGTGGCGACGGTTGTGAGATTGGCCCAGGATCAGGCAGTATTTCCTTCTTCTGTGCAGGTTACTATGGGTTGGTACCAACTCGATGGCAGCTAACAACAACAACAGAGTGGGACAGATGAATTGTTTCCACAAGTTTCTATAAACAAATACGCTGTGATGTACCCACCCTCCCGCTGGTCCCTGTATCTCCAGGGCCAGCATCCCTCTTTCACCTGCAGCTGCCAATGCTTCACCAGGCGCAGGAGGCTCTTCACCTTCGGGGGGCAGCTTTTCACAAAGTGCTTCTGCAGCTCTGTGAAGCTTGAGGAGAACTCCCCAGGGTGGCCATCACTTTTTATTAAATCTTCATAGATTTCCGGTGATGGTTTAGTGCCAGGGCAAAAGGACCCTGGGAGGAGAAAAGTAGCTGCTTAGGAAAATCTACCATTTGAGATGAAGAAGATAAAAAAAGGTCTACTGTGTATAATAGAATGTGCGTAAATTATCTCATGCAATCCTCACTACCACAGTATTATTCTTTCCACTTTATAACTGAATAATAAACAAAACCTAGAAAGCCCAAACCTGTTCCTGTTGCATTGATTCTGACTCATGTAACAGAGTTGAATTGCTCTATAGTGTTTTCTTGGTTGTAATAGAGGGAAACAGATTTTCAGGGTTTCTTCCATGGTACCACTTGGATGGGTTTGAGCTGCCAGCTTTTAAGTTAATAGTTGAGGGGGAAGGTTTGTGCCATCCAGGGACCTCGATGGTTTGGTTGTTGTTGTTGTTATGTGCCGTGGAGTCGGTTCTGACCCATAGCGACCCTGTACAGGGTTTCCGAGGCTGTAAATCTTTACGGGAGCAGAAAGCCTCATCTTTCTCCCGTGGAACAACTGGTAGTTTCGAACTGATGACCCTGAAGTTAGCAGACCAATTCATAACCACTACGCTACCAGAGCTCCTTAGATGTTTTAGTAGTACCCCCAAAAGTCACATGGATTTTAAATAACTCATATTGCCCAAAGACTTCTTATGTGTCAGCCACTAGGCTAAGCTCAAGGAATTCTCAGAACAGCTCCACGAAGCAGGTACAATTAAGTGGAGCCATGGGAAATTGGTTTTTTTATGAGTTCCTCATGCCTAAATATCCTAGGGTTCAACTTGAAGTTATCTCATTTAAATGGTTGGTAGCTGAGTCTTGGAGGAGTTAACTAGCTTGCCTTAGGTCATAAAACTGATAGAGCCATAAAACTCTTAGAGTGAACATTAAAAAATATTAAGAGCCCCCTTTAAAAAAATGATTCTAATCTTGTTCTGTCTAACTCCAAAGACTTAAAGTGCTTGTTTGACCCACCACTTTCTATTGAATCAGAGTGGAATCTCTTCTTAGGGTTCAGTGTTGTTTTTAAGTACCATTAAGTTGGTTTTGACCCATAATGACCCTATATAGGGTTTCTGAGAAGGGACTGGTGAGCTTGAACCACTGACATGGAGGTTCAAACTGACTTTGCAGTCCAGTACATTAACCCACAGTGTCACACCATTCAGTAGGAATCCATTATTGGAAGGAGGCCCCGTTCCCCATGAAACAATTGAATATGGCAATACATGCATTTATGGGAGAACTTAATTACTCAAGTATAACTCCAGTCCTATCCTCCCCAAAAAGGTAAAAACTTCACTCTTTCCTCATCGGTTCCCAATTTTCCAAACTTTTCCCAAGACCAAGTTGATAAAGGGGCCCTAACGGGTTTCTGTGGACTCAAAGTCATCTCTGTCTTTACCCAGAGCATTGAAAGCCGGGAGCACATCCACTTGAATGACTTCACTGCTTTTCCTGGCCTGGACCTGTAAGGACAGGGAGCGAGGGGCCCTAGCCCCTACTCTGGATGGCAGCAGTGATATGTTGTAGGCCAGACTCCTACTACAGTGATCCAGTTTCTCTTGGATGAATCTGATGATGACTTCTCGGTACTGGGCTTGCTCTTTAAAGTTGTAGAAACAGCTCAGGAATAGGACCAGGTCCACATCGGAGCTGCATTTCAACGTCGTCCCCTTCCCTGAGGAGCCAGCCTGTAGGGACAACAATAGTGAGCTTCACCTCTACTAAGGCTGGTGCCTGAAGGTGGAGGTGAGTCAGGAACATCAACATCGGGCCGTTTATATGGGTTCCAAAAGGGGCCCTTGGTCTCCATTATATACAGTAGCATTTGCTATGGGTATTAGGATGCCTTTTTGGAGATTGTTGTTGTTGTTGTTATGTGCCGTCGAGTCGGTTCCGACCCATAGCGACCCTGCATTAGAGAAAATAAATACAATTCAAAGGCTATAAATAAGATGATCAACACCATTCTACCCCAGGCTTCTAAACCCCTTTTTGGAGGCAGCCATAGTTACCAACTAATTGTATATTGTTGTTGTTGTTAAGTGCCATTGAGCTGGTTCTGACTCATAGTGACCCTGTATAGGGTTTTCAAGGAGCGGCTGGTGAGCATGAACCACCAATCATGCGGTTCAAACCGGCCTTGTAGCCCAGCACATTAACCTGCAGCATCATACCAGGACTCCTATTGTATACTCTACCAAAGATGTTCTATATCTATCTAACAAGGCAGTCAAGTCACATGTGGCTATTTAACAACAACAACAGAGTTAAATGACAATAAAAAATACAGCTCCTCAGTCACGTTAGACATATTCTAAGTGCTCAATAGCCACACACATAATATATGTACAAAATATTACACAAAAAAATGTGTCTAGACCAGAGCTGTACAATAAAACTGTTTTCAGTGATGGAAACATTCTATATATATCTATACTGTCCAACACAGTTGCCGCTAGCTACAGGTGGCTATTGAGCACTTAGAATGTGTCTAATGTGACTGAGGAGCTAAAGTTTTTATTGTCAATTAATTCTGTTGTTGTTAAGTGCCAGGATTTAAATAGCCACATGTGACTTTTGGCTGCCATGTTGGATAGATATAGAACATCTTTGGTAGAATATACAGTAGGAGTCCTGGTGTGATGCTGCAAGTTAATGCGCTGGACTATAAGGCTTCTTTGAACCTCAGGGTTGGTGGTTCATGCTCACCAGCCACTCCATAAGGTCAAGGAGCTCTGGTAGTGTAGTGGTTATGAGTTGGGCTGCGAACCTCAAGGTCAGCACTTTGAAACTATCAGTTATTCCGTAGGAGAAAGATGAGGCTTTCTGCTCCCGTAAAGATTTGTAGCCTTGGAAACCCTGTACAGGGTCGCTATGAGTCAGAACCGACTCCACAGCGCATAACCACCACTAACAGCAACCATATGATCAGCTACTCCATGGGAGAAAGATGAGACTTTCTGTTCCCATAGATTGGCAGCCTTGGAAACTCTATACAGTCGGAAGCAACTTGATAGCACTTAGCAACAACAATAATACAAAATTTTTTTAAAAATTTACATTGTAAAAACTTTTTATTTTGAAATAATTATAGATTCACAAGCGGCTGTAAAGAGAGTAATTGGGCTGTTGTGCCTTTCACCCAGTTCCTCCCAATGGTTACACCTTACATAAATATAGTAAAATGTCAAAAGCAGGAAATTGGCATTGACATTGACATTTTATCATATGTGTAGATTCTTATAATCAAGATTGAATCAAGATACACAGTTATTCCGTCACCACCGAGATTTCCCTCATCCTAGTCTTTCATAGTCACACTCCCTTCCCTCCCTGTCACCAAGCCTGAACTCTGGATTCCACTCCTCTGCTTTCCATCTTAACACATTTGTCATTTATAGAATGTTATATAAATGGAATCATACAATATGTAGTCTTTTGCAGTTGACTTTTTTTTTTTTCACTCAGCATAATGCCCATAATATCTATCCATGTTATCATTACTGGACAAAAGTTTCATCACCAGCTGCTGCAGCTAATAACAGAGAGGGGGAGAGAATCAACATACATTCTATTGATAGATCTGGAAGGCAGTGAGAATTCCCTGAGAAAATGCCTTGACTTCCCCCATAGGGTTGAGGTTTTTGATGACCTCCTGGATATTAACCCATTTATTACTATCACATTCCTTTCTCACAGCTTAATGCCCTCTCCCCTCCAGGACTGTAATCTGCCCTCCGCCAGTTCAATGTCCCTTACACTCGGGAGTGACTCCTTCTTTCTCTTCAGACAAAGAGCGGTGCTATTGAAGACACCTGCGGGTCAGACACTTTCTTTCCTCTAGTTTTCCTCCTCCAACTTCTCCTTCTGAGTTTTAATCAACAATACACCACTAAGTCCTTTAACTACATGTCCTGGGAGCACACACACAAGGGAGAAGTTAGGGCGTTAATGATTAGGAACAATACTTTTAAAGGGTTAAAATATATATAACTAAAAACTTATTAAAATCCTTCTCATTATTATGTGTATTAATATAGTTAATAATGGTACATATTAACATAGTTACTATAGCTTCACCATAATTACCCTTGTTATAGTTTTCACTTCATTTCCCATCTGCTTGCTGTTGTGTGCTTTTCAGAACCCTCGAGCTCTTGTTTTGTGTCCTCTGTCCAGAGTTTTAGTTGTAACCCAGGAGAGAGATAGAGTGTAAGGTGCTTTTCCAAAAGTTTATAATAATTTTTAAAGTAAATGTATTTATAAACACATGTAAGAAAAAAATGTTTTCTAGATATCTGGTAGCGTAGTGGTTATGAATCGGGCTGCGAACCTTAAGGTCAGCAGTTCGAAACTACCAGCTGTTCCGCAGAAGAAAGAGGAGGCTTTCTGCTCCTGTAAAGATTTACATCCTCGGAAACCCTGCACAGGGTTGTTATGAGTCGGAACTGACTCCATGGGACATCACTACCACCACCACTAAGCATATATTTTATTTTTTTAAATTTTTACTGTGAATCAAGTGAAGACTTACAAAGCAGAGCATTGGTTTTACACTGAACAAATCATAGACTTTACATCATTACATGTTTTAGTCTGCTTCATGTACCAACAGTTAACAGCATTTACCTTTATTCATTTAACGATTCCATTTTTCCTTGTGTCTTGCTACCTTCATCTCCTTCATCTTTCCTTTGCTAACCTCCCTCTTGTTTGCATATTGTCTGCCCTGTCACCAATATCAACATGTGTGTGCCCACTAGCCCATGAATAATTTCCACCTTCCCTATTCCACCCCCCAACAAGTGTTACTTTTGAACAATTCTATAACTCACAGTTTCAAAGGCAGTGATACACACCCTTCCACTTCTGATCCCAAACCCTTCACTGGGATCAAGTCTCTATCTTGAGGCCTGAAGTTTTTAATGTGCTTCCATAATTCTTCTTTTATTTGGATGTAGGGCTTCTCCTGGGCCGCAGCTCACCTGGGGCTGGAGCTGTGGCTTTGAAATCTTGGTGAGAGCAGAAAGTCTCATCTTTCAATGGTAGAGTGGCTTGCAGGACTAGTTCTCACATCTTTGTTGTCTGTGCAGTGTGTCTGCTTAGTCCACTATCTTTCTGGAAGCCTCTCTAAGCATATTTTAAATGATCATGGTACACTAAAATGTTTACTAATGAATAGTATGGCCATTCATTTTGTGATTTTCTGTATTTTTGTGACTAAACTCGGACACACATGGGGTCTCCATGAGTGGAAAGCAACTCTAAGGCAATTGAAAAACAACAACAGATGTATAAGTAAACAATCATAAAGCAGTTTTGACTTCAGATCTGCCACTGATGTCTTCATTGTTGTTGGGTACCATGGAGACTGTTGCAGCTCATAGTGACCCTGTATAGGGTTCCGGAGTCTGTAAATCTTTTTCTTTTTTAAGTTTTTATTGTGAATTGAGCAGGAGTTTACAGGACAGATTGTCAGTTATGATTCAACAAATTGTATACTTTGCTTCATTACAATGATTATAATCCCCTTCATGTACCATCAGTTAACAATATTTCTCTATTCATTTTAGCTCCTTTCCCACCCACCCCAACACTCAGGCATATATAATAATTTACACCACCAAAGGGGCACATTTTGCATATCTGCCTCCTGGCCACCAGTTCTCAGTCCCTCTCTTTCCATGAATCTAGAGTCCTCAGCTGCTCCCTCTCTTCATGTCCCCATCTCTGCCTCCATCTCTGGCATCCCTGCTTCTCTGGATAAGGTCTCGCATTCCACTTGTGCTCTTCTCCCTTGATGGTCCTTGCTAGGGTCCTCTGTTTCTGTACTGTAAGCTTAACTACTTCCCCATTTTTGTTTCAAAACTCATACCTTTATAATTGTGACAATTGCAATTAGTCATGTTAAAAATTACTATTGAATCATAAGAATCTTATTCTCATCTCTTTTTACCAGACCCGTCTAGATAAGAACTATTCAGTA